AGACCGATCCTCTAGGGCCACAGCCTCTAACCTGGGCAGAAGCTGGGGTCCAGCCCTGCTGGGGGAACCCACCTGAGCCAGTCTGGTTGATATTCCCCTCCCCAAATCCCTTCCTCCTCCAGGCATGTCCCATGAACATGTACCCCCATGGACGCAGTGGGAGAACCGTGCAAGAGATCTGGGAGGATTTCTCCATGAGCTTCACACCTGCTGTGCGGGAGGTGGTAGAGTTTGCCAAGCACATCCCCGGCTTTCGTGATCTTTCTCAGCATGACCAGGTCACCTTGCTTAAGGCGGGAACCTTTGAGGTGAGTGACCCTTTGTGCTCCCTGGTCTTGACCTTGGGAAGGATCCCGCAGAAAGACTTGGTATCTAGGATAGGGAGGGACTCTGAAAGGCTTTGGAACCCCAGTATCTTTGTCCTGGCAGCCTCTGACTGCTGAAGGAAGGGGCAGAATCCCTTCCCTTCCTGCGTCAGGTTGGCTGGGACTTCTGTAATCTCAGCTGGGGTCTCAACACATCCCATTACCTGGAAATAACACCTTAGGGCACATTGCTACCCCCATTCTAGACTCAAATTAATTTTGGTGAACTTTTGCGACCTTGTCCCAGGTCACGGGTAGTGACAAAGTTAAGACTCAGATTCAGCCCTGCTGGATTCTAAAGCCAGGGTGATGTTCCCCATCCTTCCATCTCTCCCCCACCCCCACCCCACTGCCCATTCAGAACCCACCCACACTCTTTCCCGAGATACCTAAGGCGGTGCCAGTAAACCCTTTGGAAAACTTTAGGGGCAATTTGGCAAATGCTCCTCCCACCCCACCAGGGTGACTGTCCCTGTCCCCTCTCCCTTAGGTGCTGATGGTGCGCTTTGCATCGCTGTTCAACGTGAAGGACCAGACAGTGATGTTCCTGAGCCGCACCACTTACAGCCTGCAGGAACTTGGAGCCATGGGCATGGGGGACCTGCTCAATGCCATGTTTGACTTTAGTGAGAAGCTCAACTCCCTGGCGCTTACCGAGGAGGAGCTGGGCCTCTTCACCGCGGTGGTGCTTGTCTCTGCAGGTAGGTCAAGCTCTCTCCTGAGCCTGACCCTGGAGGGGGGTGGGGGGGAGGAGGCGGACGCAGTTCGATTCAACACACCTTTTATGGAGTACCTACTCTATGCCAGGCCCTGCACCGGGCACTGGGGATACAGACATGATTCAGACACAGTCTAGCTGGGGAGACAGACTCATGCCCGACTAATTATAAAACAGTGAGATAAGTGTCACAGTAGAAGCATGAACCAAGGGCTTTGGAAGCACAGACAACTATTTCTGCCTGGGGGAGCTGGGGAAGGAGGTGACACTTGAGTGGGGCCTCAAAGGACAAGTAAGGTATTGCCAGGCAGAGAGGGGGAAGGGCATCCCAGGCAGAGGGAACTACAGAGCAAAAAGCAAGGGAGCCTGGACATGTTTGGCCTGTTCAGGGAAGGAGAGTGGCCTTGTGGGATGGGAGGTGACCAGCCCTGCTGAGCCCATGCTCCCAGCTCTCAGCTGCCTCCTGCTCTCAGGGCAGAGGCCTGGGAGAAGGAGTTGCGCTCCTCTCCTCCTCCTTCCCCCGTGGGCCCTCCGAGGGGCTTCAGGGAGAGGCTGCACCGGTGGCCGGGTCCTCCTCCTTCTTCTCCTCCTCCTCCTCCTCCTCCTCCTCCTCCTCGCAGACCGCCTCCGGTTCCTCCTCAGAGGAGCTCGGGGAGCCTGCCTCACTGCTGTCGTCTTCCCCACAGACCGCTCGGGCATGGAGAATTCCGCTTCGGTGGAGCAGCTCCAGGAGACGCTGCTGCGGGCTCTTCGGGCTCTGGTGCTGAAGAACCGGCCCTCGGAGACTTCCCGCTTCACCAAGCTGCTGCTCAAGCTGCCGGACCTGCGGACCCTGAACAACATGCATTCCGAGAAGCTGCTGTCCTTCCGGGTGGACGCCCAGTGACCCGCCCGGCCGGCCTTCTGCCGCTGCCCCCTTGTACAGAATCGAACTCTGCACTTCTCTCTCCTTTACGAGACGAAAAGGAAAAGCAAACCAGAATCTTATTTATATTGTTATAAAATATTCCAAGATGAGCCTCTGGCCCCCCGAGCCTTCTTGTAAATAACTGCCTCCCTCCCCCATCACTGACCCTCCCGTCCTCCCCTATTTAAATCACTCTCCGCCCCCCCCACCCCCCGCTTATTCTCTAGCCCCCCGATTTGTTCTATTCCTGTCTCAAATCCAATAGTTCACAGCTGAGCTGGCTTCTGTGGTGTGTGCTCGTTTTGGGGGTGGGGGTGGAAATATTGCCAAGGCTGGGGCACACCTCTCCATCTGGTCAGTTTGTGGGGTGGGTATTCTGCCAGCAGATGGGAGGATACAGGGAAACAGCACACAAGTCTAAGGGGGGGTGCCCGAGGGGGTTATTTTCATCATATATTTATTACATAAATATATAGTAAAATAGACGAGCAACAATTACCATAAAAATATCTTTCTTTAAAATCCTGACCCAAAACACAACGGGGTGAAAAATCGCACGTAACAGACATACTGATTGTCAACGTGGGGCAGGAGTAGGAGCCCCCCAAGTCACCCCTGCCAGTCCCCCACCCCTCCCTGGGGAAGGGACCTACCTCTTTCCCTGTTTCTGGCCACAACCCCCCTCCCCCCACCCCAGCACCAGCTTCTCATACATTCAGTAGCGCCTCCAGGGAAGTGCCCCCTCCCCCACCCAGGAGATCCCGGGGCAGGAATTACTGTCCCCCTTATGGACGGTGTCTGTGTCACACGCCCCGCCCTCTCCCAGCCCTGTAGACCCGCCACCAGGGGAAGGGGTAGGGGCTCCTCCACCCCCACCCTCCCCAAGGCTGAGCAGGGAGGAGGCTGGATGAGGTATGTGTGTTCTGAGTGATGGGGGGTGGGGATACTGAGATGGAGAGGCGGGTGGTGGGCACGGGGGAGTGGTCATGGCTCTGGCACCCCCTTGTCCTGGCCTGGCCCATTCCCAGCAGTCCCTCCTCCCACCAATACTGCACCTGCTGCCCCACCCCGCCTGCCCTAGTGCCCCGGGCCAATACTGGGGGAGGCATACTAAGCACCCACGTCAAGGCCATCCCCCTCATTAGCACCAATGGCCCCCAGGAGAGGGCCCTGTCCCCCACTTCCAAAGCAGGGGCTGGGACAGCTGCCTCTCTAGAGCAGGTGCGTGGTGCTCCTGAGTCCCCTGGCTCCTGCCCCACCACATGTACTTGCTCACACATTCACGCAGAGAAACGCACACATACACCCCACATCACCTAGAGTGAGGGGGGAGGGGTCAGAGATGGGGGGGAGGAGTAGGGGATCACAGCTCATATGATTGGGGAGGTGAGGGGGGATTCCCAAGTGCCTGTAAGAGGCCAAGCCCCTTTAAGGCCTTTTCTCTACCATGTTCATGGCTGAGAATGGGGATGGAGGGGTGGAGGTGGGGATGCAGGGAGGGAGGGAGGGAGGGAGGGAGGAGACAGCAGACAGGTCAGGAATTCCACTGGGCCCCCAGGGGTGGTATACCCCCAGAGGAGGGTACAAGAGGGCTTACCCATGGGACTGGAGTAATATAGGAATCAGTACCCCAGGAGAGAGAGAGGATAGAGACAGACAAAGACAGCAGGGGCAGCCCACGAGCCCAAGGGGGGCAGGGCAGGCACATGCACAGGTGACAGCAGATGCTCTTCCAGGCCCTCCACCCCTGTCAGAACACCTGGACAGTGGGGGAAGGACATGCCCTGATGGGCAGCATAGCATTGCCTTCCCGTGTGTGTGTGTGTGTGTGTGTGTGTGTGTGTGTGTGTGTGTATGTAGGGGGCTGTGGCAGGCTGAGGGTCAGGGTGGGGTGGCAGGTTCCCCACTGCTTAAGACATTTTTGCCCCAATAGTGCAAAGCGCAGGAAGCCCTGGCACCCCTCCCCCTGCCCCTGCCCCATTCCCCATGGCTTCCGGGGGCATCTATGTCCACCCATCCATCCCTGCCGACATGCAGCCCTGAGCCCAGGGCCCTCTGGTCTGTTCTGTCCCTCCCCACCCTCCCCCCCCCACCCATGGGAGGGCTACCTCCTCCCTCCCTCTCTCCCCTGTGGAGTGGGCAGTGGGCGATAGCCAAAAGGAAGAGGAGGAGGGCAGCTCACCCAAGTGCAGACCAACAGAGCACTCCTCACCAGGAGGGTGGGAGGTGGCTCAAGCCAAAGTCCCTGAATTAGAGAAAAGAAGAGGGGAGGGGGTCCCAGGGGCAGAGGGGTGGCTGGCCTAAAGAGCTTTAAAGAAAAAAGGAGGAGCACCAACCGCCCCCTCCCCTGGGGCCCCAACTAAGTGCCATTTATCTAGGCACCCCCATTCTGGTGCCTGCCTGCCCAGAGTCTGGGTTAGTGCATTGAGTGGGAGTGGGGAAGGAAGAGGGCAGAGGTTAGAGAGAGCCCAGAAGACAGATGGGGACACAGTCCTAAGGGGGTAGAGGCTCTGGGAGAAACTCACACACACCCCCCTAACTCCCCCCCAGTGCAGCAGCATCTGGATTATAGCTAATACTGCAGGTGTGAGGAGGGCAGGAGCTTGAGCCACAGTTTTTCCTGTGTGGGTGCCAGGGGGGGGAGGGGGGGGGGGGGGGGGCAGGGAGAGGCCCCTGGGGCTGGGCACTTGAAAGGGGAGCTGTGTGGGCAGCAGGGCAGGCTGGTGAGGGGCCAGCTGGCATCCAGCGTGAGAGGTAGATGGAACTCAGCGGGCACGAGTGGCAGAGAGCAGAGGGAGCACTGGGCGGGGGGTGCCGAAGGGGCACAGGGGGAGGGGCAAGGCAAGGAGGGATGGCCAGGACCCTGTTGTGTTAACTCACAGCTCTGATCGGCAGCCCTGCCCTTGGGGACCTGGTATGTGGGGCAGTTCTCTCTGATTTGCGGGGAGGAGGGGCAGCTCTCAAAGTGCTTAGGGGTGGTAGGGGGCCAGCCTCGGTTAATAACTTAATATCATCTCTCTCTCTCTATCTCTATCAATCGCTCACTCTTTTTTTCTTTTTCTCTCTGTCTAGTTTTTCTTCATTTATCTTCTCCCCTTGCCTGGTTTCCAAAGTGCAGTTAGAATGACTAATTTTTAACCTCCAGGGGGAGGAGCCAAGCCAAGCCTTTCTTTGCACCCAGGCTTCTGGGGAAGCAGAGAGGCCCTTAGCCTGGAGGGGGAACCTCTGTCAAGGAACTGTGCAGGGGGGGCTCTCTCTTGTGTGTGTGTAGGGGCTGAATTGAGGGCATCTTCCCCCACCCCACATTCTTCCATCCCCTACAGTCAAGATGGCTTGTCCCCTCTTAGATCTCCCTCCCTTCCCCTACCTTCTTAGAGGATGGGGTCCTGGGAACTGCAGGACACGGTCCCCCAGCCTCCCACACTGTCTTTTTCATAGCAAGTTCATGTGTTTGCCCTGTCCCAGGGCTGGAGGTTCTGAGGAGGGACGGGCAGTGCGGGGTGTGTGTGTGGGAGCTGAATCTATCCAAGGATGAGAGGAAGGAGAGAAGAGGGGTGGGGGGCCTCCCTCAGCCCCCCAGCTCTGCCCCTTCTCTCCAGGCTCCTCCCCACCAGCTCCGCACACCCTCTGGCCGCCTGAGGCTTTAGACTTCCTGATCCTCAAAGACCTCGAGGAAGAGTGGGGGGAACAGTTCGGTGGGGCACTCGACTTTCATGTGGAGGAAGCGGCTGGCGTGGCAGGCCCCGATCATGCGGAGGTCAGTCACCTTCATCAGCAGCTTGGGCCAGAAGTGCGGAATGTTGTGTTTGCGGTGGTTCACGTAGTGCTCGAACGCCAGCAGGTACGCCTCCTGACTCTTCTCGATCTTGTCCACACACAGCAGGCCCGAGCGGTCTGCAGGGAAAAGGGGCGTGAGCTTGAGTGGGTGAAGGGAGATAGACTTGGAGAGGCTAGGGTGGGGAAGGGGAGGGAAAGAGACTGCAGCGTGTGCATGGGAGCAAGAGCAGGGTGGAGGAGGGAGGAGTCTGAGCCGCTGGGGGTTTTGAGAGAGGTAGTGAGTAAAGAAGACAGAAGGACTGAGAGGTGAGAAGAGAGGGGAGGCTTGGAGACAGGGCAGGACTAGGGGGCAAAGAGAAGAGTTGGTGGGAAGAGGGGCAGAGGGGGGATAAGGGGCAGGGAGAGGGGACAGAGGAGGGGTAGGGGATAGGTGGTTGGGGTTGTGGAACAAAGGCAAATGTGAGTGACAGAAAGTGGAGGGGGGGTGGTGGTGGGCAGAGAGAAAGAATACGGTGAAGATGGAATAAGGGGCAGAGGAGACATGGCAAGAGATGTGCTTGGACATCAGAACTGAGGGGGGATGGGTAATAGAACAAGGGACAGGGGACAGAGAATGGGCCCAGTGATGGAGGTAAGCTTGGGGAACAGAGAAGCTGAGGAATAGAGAAAGACTGTAGAATTCAGGGAAGAGGATAATGACAGGCGCAGGGCCCAGCCAAGCCCTGGAAGCTTCTGAGCCCTCCCAGCCAGTAGGCAGGTACCTGTTGACATTAGCAGCACAGCCTGCAGCAGAGCCACTTCCGTATCATCCAGGTTAAAGGCAGAGAGTGACTTGCCCAGTTCAAAGATGGCGTCGGAGACTACGCCCAGGCCACCATTCTTGAGCTGCTCCCGCTTGACGGCCATCTCCCCACTCAGCGTCAGGGTGTCGCTTTCGGGGTCATAGCGGACAGCCGCCCGCAGGGACATGATCTCCATGCAGCACCCCTTCAGGAGGATGATCTGGTCTTCGCAAGGCAGCTGCAGAGTGGCAGGGCCACAGGAACACTCAGCATGCCCTTCCCCATGAGTGTCTCTTGTGGATGCCCTTTGGGAGCTGTGAGGCCACCACTCACCTCAGCCAGTAAGGTATACTCTGAACAACTAGCCTTGCTCTGGGCCACGGACATGCCCTATGTCATTAAATCTCACAATTATGCCTATGAGTTCCCTCCCATCATTATCTCCATCCCCACTGCAGATGAAGAAAGTGAGGTACATGGTACCATGGCCAAGGTCACACAGCTAGTAGGGCAGCCTGTACCCAGACTTAGTGCTCTTTAAAATGAGAAATTTGGGGTGCCTGGGTGGCTCAGTCAGTTAAGTGACTGACTTCAGCTTAAGTCATGTTCTCACAGTTCATGAGTTCAAGCCCCACATCAGGCTCTGTACTGACAGCTCAGAGCCTGGATCCTGCTTTGGATTCTCTGTCTCCCTCTCTCTCTGCCCCTCCCCTGCTCTCACTCTGTTTCTCTCTCTCTCAAAAATAAATAAACATGAAAAAATATAAATAAATAAATAAATAAATAAATAAATAAAATGAGAAATTTGAAGCTGTTGGAGCCAGGATAGCCATGTAGATGTTGGGGGAGAAGGACAGGGAGGGGCTGGGGAGGCCAGGCACTTGGAATATCTTGGTTCCTTAGGCATTCGCTAGCTGTGTGTGTGTGTGTGTGTGTGTGTGTGTGTGTGTGTGTGTGTTGGGGGTGTTTGGGTTGTGTGTGTTAGATGTGTGTTGACCTACAGGGATTGCTCCCTGTCCAGAGGACCTTAGATGAGCATATGCTGACACTGGGTGACCAAGGGAGCAGCCCCAGTTTTCCCTCTAGGGTGGCACCATGCCTCTTCCCATTTGCCACTCACCTCGGAGAACATGGGCAGTTTTTTGGCAAAGTCCACCACACGGGTGATGGCCGGGGTGATGATCTTGGTAAACTCGCTGAAGGCCTCTAGGTCCACCTTGTCTCCATCCGGCATGGAGACGATGGGTGACTGGCCGATGTCATCCGGCTTTATAAAGAAAGAGACAGGGGTCAGCTGGGGCTGCAGACCCCTTTCAACCTCTCACTGAGGCTCCCTGCCCACCAGGGGGAGCTCCAAGTCAGCTTGGGGAAGAGGGGCGGCCAGTACCAGGGGACTGCCCTGTCCCATGCCTAAGGCTTCTCCTTCACCTTAGGGCAGAGAATAGATCAGAGCCAGAGCTGCAAGTCGGCTAATAATAACAATGACCATAACAGTAGTAGAAGTAATCTCATAATAATAGAAGCTATGTTTACTGAATATGTAACATATTTAATACGCAGCCAGGCACTAGGCTACATGTTTTATAGATCCTATTGAATCCCCACCACAACCTTATAAGGATGTTATACTTAACACCATTTCACAGGTGAGGAAACTGAGGCACAGTGCAGCTGAGTAATAAGCCCAAGGTCACATGACTAGTAAGAGGTAGAACCAGGATTTGAACCCAAATAGTCTGACTCCTCACCATTATACACACATGTGCTTGGTATTAAAGGCTGTGCTCTTAACACTATACTGTTCCACCCGCTGGCACACTCCACCAGGAACCAGATACCAGGTTCCTGCCTTCACTCACCATATACAATCAACTGTCCATCTCCTCCCGAGCTGCCCATTCACTTAGCACTCAGTTTTGCCAGGGTCTACCATAATGCCTCGTACCCATCAGGTGCCCTCAAATACTATTACATAACTGTGTCCTAACCCTCTCCTCCCAGTCACTGTGGGCAGGAAAAAGAGGAGAGGTTGCCCCTGCTCTCTAGAAATTCAATGGGGAAGCTCCCAATCACACTGAATAGGCAGGGCTGTGACAGCAGCAACACATATGCAGGCATATGAATCAGGATCACCACGTCGTAGAGAGCATTAGCTTTGGGTCAGATTAAACCAAGAAAGCTTTCTGAAGGAGACAAGACTCTGAGCTTGCTCTTCCTCCTGGCCACGTGGCTGCTGCTCTCCCCATGCCCCCTCTCTCCTTACCAGGAATTTCCGTCTCTGCTTCCAATGGCTGCCCTGGGCATTCGTGCTGCGATGGGCCTCTGTGGCAACATGGATCAGGTCCCACTCTTCGGGAGTGGGCTCCGGTCGCTGCTGCAGTGATCGGATCATCTCTTCCTTTCGTCGCCGCTCCCGGTTCTGCTCGATCAGCTTGCGCTTGGCCACCCGCTTTGAGTCATCTAGAACCACTGTCAACGGCAGAGAGACACGATGCTCTCTGCATGGCACTCTCCACAATCTACTCAGAAACTACTCTTCCCAATGTAAGGTTAGGAAACTGAGGGCCAGAGATGTTAAGTGACTTCCCAAATACCACCTAGCAATTGGGTGGCACAACCTGGATCATGATAATCACTGGGCCCATGTAGACTATCACGTTCTGGTCTAAGTGGTTATGGTGATAGTGGTTACTAGAAGAGCCTGCTACGCAATCCCCAGCCAATGCAAGATGCCCACTCTCACCCAGAAGTGGGGTGTCTTCTCTGGTAGTCAGGAACACTGTGCTAGGGTGAAGTACTCAGGACTCCTTTCTACCCAACAACTCTAAGGCCTTGGAGTGGTGAAAGGCAGGTAGGCACTGGGGCCCATGTGCAGGGCCCATTCAGGGATCCTTTGTTCCCTTTTCCCCAGGGATGAGGGCAGCAGGGACCAAGATCCTGAACATTCATTCCCCATCATCCTGACCTGGATTGTCACTCTGCACTGTGGGCCCTAAGGATACTCTGGCAGGGAGCAGTCATATCTGAACTCACCCCCACCCATGGCTGCCTGGCTCGACACCCACCCCCCCATCCCCTTACAGTCCATGGCCATGCCCACGGCGATGCACTTCTTGAAGCGACACAGCTGGCACTGGTTGCGGGTGATCTTGTCAATGACACAGCAGCTGTCATATTTGCAGGAGTAGGTGGGATGGAGGTTCTTCTGGATTGTGCGGCGAAAGAAGCCCTGGGGTGGAGGGAGATGTAGCATGTAGTGATCATGATCTCTCCTTCATGAACCAACCATGCAACTCACTGGGCGGGCGGGGGTGGGGGAATTAGTGAGGGAACTTGGCATCCTCCTGACACCAGCAAGTCCAGGATCACCTGGTGGGGCCAAAGGACTTTAGAAATATGGAACTATGTGCCCTCAGCTCCCAGGCTGCTGAGGCGCAGGGGCACATGGGGAAGGGTGGTGGCAGGGGGGAGGATGAGGAACCCAGTACACAGACATGAGCCTGGGATGGTGTCAGGTGCTATGATGCCTGAAGGAATAGCAGCAGCTTTGGAGGTCCAACTGATACCTTATTTTCGATCCTGCTAAACAACTCTGAAAATAAAACTGACTCCCAAACCTACCCTTATACATGCTGCCTGTTGCTCATGCAGGTGGAATTCTCGAAATGGGGGGTGGGGGTGGGGGTGGAGGTTAAAAATCAAGAAAAGGCACTGTGTATGGACACTAGTAGATTTAAAAGAAAATTTTCAATTCTGTGTATCGGGTTTAGTCTTTGCCCTAAAGAAAAATCCTCAAGAATCAAGATGGCAGCAATAACAGGAAGAGCTAACATGTGCTGAACACTCACTATGAGGCACTTATAAGCCTTTTCCATGTGTGCATTATCACATTTGATGCTTGTGTCCACCCGTGAGGTAGTAATGTTACTATCTCCATTTTGAGACTAGGAAACTGAAGTTTGGAGAGATTAAGCAATCTGCCCAAAGTCATATGGCTAAATGGGCAGGAGAGCCAGAACTGGACCTGAGGTGTGGGACACCAGTTCCGAGTTCTCAGATTCAGGGGTGTATTAAAATCATCTAGTGCACTTAAAAATTAAAACAAAAGAGAATAAAATAGAACAGAATAGAATAAAATAAAACAAAATAAAATAATCATTTACTGCACTTAACGAAAAATGCAAAGTCCTGGGCCTCACTCTAGACTTAAGATATCAGACTCTCTAGAGCTGGGGCCAAGGCATTTCTGTCTTTCTGGGATGCTCCTCTGGGACTCAACTGTCCTTGAGGGTGAGGATCCTTGCTCTCTGTTGTGCTGCTTGTATTGCTTCCAGGAACACTGCTATGGGACTCTGAACCCCTGGTGGTCTGGGCTTTGTTGATACTAAGAAAGAGAGGAATGTGAAGCCTTACTATATTTTTAAATACTTTCATTTCTTGGAAAGTCTTACATTTTCAGGAGGTGATGATCCTGGAAAACCCTTGCAGGTGAAAATGAGCTAGGTGAGATGTAATTAAAGCTCCCCAAGTCTATGACCTTGTCCCAACTGCCCACGGAGACTCTGTCATCCTCTCCAACTCTGGGCCCCACTGTGCCCCTCCCCCCGGCACTGGTTCTCACTCTTCTAGGTGCAGGGGGAGTAACTGGGGACCTGTTCCAAGGCAGAGTCCACAAAGGCCTCACCACAGAAGTTCTGACTGAGTAGGGTTGGAATGAGGCCTGGAGATCTGCACTGAACTAATCCTGCAGGTAGTCCAGGGACCACATTTTGAAAACCAGTATTTGTTTCCAGTGTGCCTCTCTGGTAGACTATGAGCAGCTTGAGGGCAGGACACATACTACCTCCTTCACATCTGATCCACCAAGTGGATGGAGGATAGCTGGGATTTATTGAGTGCTTCTTATGTTCCTGACACTGTTTTAAATACTTTATGAATTAGCTCATTTAATTCTCGCAACAGCTCTATGAGGTAGGTAATGTGATTATCCCCGTTGTATAGAGGAAGAAACTGAGGCCCAGAGAAATTAAGCATCTTACCTATGAGTGAGTGGCAGAGCAGAGATTGTAAACTGACAAATGAATAAGAGAGGAGAAATGGTGGTGCAACAGGTGGGGTTTAGGTTAGGTGTCTATAGGGCTGTCTTTGCCAGGAGCTGAGGGCCTTCAGGCGGGTGAGATGGGGGCTCAGGTGGGGGGTAGGGGGGGCAGGAGCTGTCTGGTCCATACCTTGCAGCCCTCACAAGTGATGCAGCGATAGTGATAACCGGTTGCCTTGTCCCCACACACGACACACTGCTCGTCTTTGTCCAGGTAACTAGGGATATACCCTGGGAGGGAGGAAGGGAGGCAGGCAGGCATGGCTTGGGCCCCCAGCAGAGAGGCTCCTACACTTCCTTCATCCCCCCAACTTTTCCTTCCTGGCCCATCCCCTAGCCCAGCCTCCTTAAAGGATTCTTTGTGTCCAGGTAGAATCCTGGAGACACATCAGAGTCACCTTGTCCATCCCCTTCCCTAAGAATATGGAGAATCCCAGTTCTTCCGACTGCCCATTTGGGGATTTTTCTCTTGCTGCATCTGAGGGGCAGGGGATGCAGGACATGTCAGCAGCTCATCTCAGGGGAATACAGTCCCTTGGCCAATTAGCCCCAGATCCTGACTCAGGGGCACAGGGGGGTGGGGCTCAGGGAAGGGGTTTATCAGGGAAGAGAAGAGGTCCTTCTTTTTTGAGGACCTGTCCTCAAAGGCTGGAGCATGCCCTTATCACCCCTCTCACCTCCAGACAAGTTCGTCCCAAGCTCTCTGGAAGGCTCTCCCCAAGGGTCACAGGAACTGCTGGTCCATGCCCAGGCCCCCAAAGAGCTCCAGGCCTGGTTTGGTGGGGTTGAGGGTAGGGAAGAAAGGCACACACAACCAGGCTCACCTGACATGCTGGTTTTCAGGGAACATTGGCCGTTCTTTCTTTTTCGCTTTCCATCTGGTGACCTGGCACTGGATGGGGGTAGAGTGGGCAGAATCACAGGGCAGTCTTTGGGCAGCCCCCTTCTCATCCAATAGGTTTCTATAATCTCCCAGGCCCGATTCCCTCCATCTTGTGTCCTCATTCCACTTCCACCCCCAGGTCAGCTGATAAAACTGAGAAGGGTCCAGCTATCTAGAAGCTTTGGGATGAGAGATAAAGGGCATGGCTGGGGGCACAGGCATGTTCTAGGGCTCCAACACACACACACACACACACACACACACACACACTATAGAACCTTAAACACCCATAATCCACAGGATATCCACATATTTAAACCTTCAATACATGGAACTTATGCAGAAAGAATCTTCAGGACATGCTTACAGCTATATAACCTTTAGGGCACACACATATGTACATAACAGAAGACCAGAGCATCTGTCTGTCTTCAGTATAAACCTAAGGATTATAAATAAGCACCAGGATCTATACATCTATGAAATTTTCAGGGCATTCTCAAATGCGTTCTATGACCTCTAGGATATGCCCATGTGTTACACAACCCTCTGGACAGACACCTAATAGTGAACATGTGGCTTGATTCCCAGGTCATGTACATGGTAGATAACCCGAGTGATTGAAAACCTATACTGACTAGCAATGATAATCTATAACCTGGAATAAGAAGAGACTCCCAGAGCCACCCTGTTCATGGCCTTCATTTAACAAAGCAACAAACCGAAGCTCCATTTGTGCCTGGTGACACTGTGCACTAGAGTCAGAACCAAGACAAGGACCCTCCACGCAAGGTGTTAGCAACCCTCAACCACTGCACATATATGTTACCAACCTCGACCCATACATGTTACATAACCACAGCACACACAGGTTACATAAGCCTCCACATACGTGCACGGATTGTATAACCTCCCACACCCACCCTGCATGTGGCATGTTGCAGGGCTCCTCCCCCTGGAGCCTGATGCAGCTCCCAACACACTGACACAGTGACCTTGGCCAGGGTCGCAGTCATAGACAAGTCTGTGTTCCAGGCCCCCTGGGGATTACCCCTGTCTGATTTCTACAACCATTGGAGAGTCACATCTCCCTCCTGCCTCCAGGAGGAGTGGATGTGGGAGAACTCCAGGCCACCCAGCCCCCAGTTGAGCTGGTGGTTTTCAGCAACTACGATTTACAGGGTGCAGTCCCAGGAACAGCCACAAGGTGGCAGAGAAACGGGGTGGGGGGAGGGGATGCTGCCTTGGAGGGAACCAGGAACCTGCATTCCTGCTTTTCTTTGAGTTAGGAGCAGGCTCGCCCAGACTCACAGAAGTCTGGGCAGGGAGATACAGAGGCTGCAAGTGAGAGCTATCAGTGACAGGCCATATCTTCTTTTTCAGAGCCCTCCCCCGATCCTGGGCTTTGGGGAGGGATACCCAAGGTGCCCTACTCAACTGCCAGCCTCATCCACTTCCTCCATCCCTCCAGGGACCCAGACATGGGCCCCAAGGCTTTGCCTAGCCAAGCCTCTGGCCTCCTGGCTCAAGATCTGGTCTCCAAGGCAACAGCCACACTTCTCCCCAGAGCACCCCCACCCCCACCCTCTCCCTGGCCATAGGCACAGGCTGTACCCAGCTCCTGGGGCATCATGCCAACTGGGACAGAACTCTGTGCCACTTGGGGCTGATGGGAGAAGCAGAGACCCTCTGGGCTCCTCAAGGGCAACGCAGATCACAGGTAACCCATCCCTAGTTGTGTATGCAGGGCTGATTCCTCCTCCACGTGTGAGCAAAACCTTCAGAGTTGGCATTTACTTCCACTTCCTGGGAGGAGCCCCGTGGCAGTGCCTGCTCTTGCCCATGAACAAGGAAGAGCTTGTGGGGCTCCCAATAGATTCCAAATATAAGCACGGGCTCTGACCAACAGTGACTGGTGCATGTGCTCTGAAATGTCATGTCCCATGCATCATGGCTTCTGGACCACACACTAGTCTGGTAGGGAGAAGAGGAAAATGGCAAGGCTGTTTGGATTCCACATGCTCAGGTGAGGGCGGCTGAGAGCCACTGGGAAGGCATCTGAGATCTCCCAGCACTGTCAAGAGAAGGGCCACGTGCCTGCCGCCTGTAATTACTGTGTCCTGCATCCCCCCCCCCCCCTCCAAAATGGACATCTCTCAATCCAGGTGCCTAATTCCCTGCCACATGTGGCCATGACCTCATCTCCTGGGCAAAGGTAGGCAGCAAGCTTGTTGGCCCCATGCCCAGCCCTCCAGAGGTGCTTAAAAGGCCCAGGCTCAGCGCTCATTTGCCCAGCCAGGAGATGACCATGCCTGCTGCCTAAGAACTGACACAACCTGGTTGCTGGAGCCATTACCTGTTCTCCTCTGGGTCTGACCCACACTCCACCTTGCTTGGCTTCTGTTCCATTCACTTCAATTCCATCCAGGATGCCCTCCAGCACGCCAAGAGACTGGGGTGGGCACGATGGCCCCCCCGGCACACCCACAGGCCGCCCACCCCCTGCCACCCAGGCCCTAGGGCACAGCACCCATGGTGCTCCCCTCAACACTTGGCCTTTCACACCATGCCCTGCGCCCCAAGGGGGGCGGGCGGTGAGAGGGGCCAGGGAGTGGCAGGTGGTAGGGCTGAGGACAAGCTGGGTCTGAGGAGGGGTCTCGGGCTGGGGGAGTAGCTTTGGAGTCTTGTCCAGAAGTCCCTGCAAAGAGAGGAGAGAGGCAGGGATAAGGCAGTGCAATGGTGGCGGTGAGTGGCTAAGATTCCTTTGGTGGCAACATTTTGGGCTCTTGGAGCTCATAACAAGATGGTGGCAGGCATGGAGGGCAAGCACAAACGGGATCAGGACAGCCTGTCAGTTAACAGGTGCAGGAGGCAAGACTGGAGATACACATCCTAAGCCCCAGACCTGGAAAGGTGTGGAGGAAAAGAATCAGGTCATCACGTACCGTGTCTCAATCCTGACATTCAGTCAAGCGCCTGGCCTTTTGATGTGTCCATTGAATGTAGCTATTGTTACCACCCGTCTAGCCAAGTTTTTCTAAAAGTTATCAGTATTATAGGACAAGAGGGGACCCAAGATGAGCAATTTTCAGCTCACCTGTAGGGGGTACTTGAGAAGGAAGGGTGGGACATGGGGCAGCACGCAGGGATCATGAGTGCCCACCCAAGTGCATTGATGGAGAGAGACTGTTGAAAACAGTGGGGAGCTGACCTCTCCCCTGCTGCTGACCAAATAACCACTCCTCAATCCCAGCTCCCCAAGGACCCTAGAGCTTCCTGTACAAGGTCCCAAATCACACTTCCCAGTCTGAGGACCAGACCTCCCAGTTGTTTAGCTGTGCTACCACCCACCAGGACAGCAAGGGCAAGGGGAAAGGAAGCAAACATGTGTTACCTGGATAGATAATATGTGCCCTCTGAAGTGGGCATCAGAACTTTACAGATGAAGAAACAAGCTCAGGAAAGCTTGATCATTCATTCATGTTCACACAGCTAGGAAGCAGGTGGCTCAGGGAAAAGAACCTAACAGCCTGTCTCAAATGCTAGCCTCAGTCCACCAGCTGGGGTCCAGGGCAGTGCCAGCATGGGGCCACCATTCCCTCCACACTGCCCCTCTGACCACAGGCTACAGACCTGAGGTGTACTGTCTGCACACACAGGCAGGTGTGGGCATGTGAGAAGGGGACAAAGGGTGCAGTTCCCCACACACAACCTCCATCACGTGGCTGCTGTACCAGAGACCTCACCCCTGGGCCCCCCGCCCCACCCCCAGGAACTGATAAGGAGCCAGGGTGGGAGGGGAGACAGATAAGTCAGGTCATTGGGCAGGGCAGGGCAACCGGACAGGGCCTCTGCACCCAGGCAAGCCCCCAGCATGACGAGCATGGCAGGACCATTATGCCTCTGCTACCCCCATAGACTGGGCACTGGGGGCTGGACAGGAGACTGGGGTGGGGGGGGCAATGAGCGGGGAGCCTTAGCCCAGGGAGCCGTCAAGAAAGTAGGTCAAGTTTTTCTTGGCTTGTGAAGAAATTCCTGTTATAAATTTATAATGGCGTAGCCAGCCCTAAGGGGTGGAGGTAGGGGGAGGAGAAGGAGTGGGTGGGGATGCCCAGGGACTGGGCACTGGGGCCTGCTGCCCTCAGTCAGGGCACTGAGGGGTAGGGGGCCAGGGAAGTCGTGGGGGTTGGGCCGGACAATAGAGGGCTATTTTCTGTCGCTTCTGTTTCCACTTCTATCTGTGCCCAGCGAGGCTTCCTTTAGTCGGCTCTCTGCATCTGAATGTCTCTCTCTCTCTCTCTCTCTCTCTCTCTCTCTCTCTCTGGGTCTGGGTGTCTCCCTGTCTCCCCCCTCAGGCTGTGCCTCGGTGCTTGGCACACCCTGGCTGCGGTGCTGCCCCCGCCTGTCTCCTGCCCACCTGGCATGCTGCCACCACTTGTTTACAGAAGCTGGAAAAATCCACTCGCCAGCCGGAGGCCCAAGCGCCCCCAGGGATGGGAGGAGGCAGGCAAAGGAGTGGGCATGCTGAGAGAGGGGCAGCCCTGGGGAGCAGGCCCTGGGGGCAGGCAACAGGGCCAGGGTGTATGGGAATGGGTATTAGCAGCTGTGGGCCAGGCCAGGCAGGGAACACCAGCAGCAGCCACATGGCATGGGCAGCTCCTGCCCCGGGCCATAGCTATGGAGGACCCCCTCCTCCTGCACCCTGCCACTGCCAATTGCTACAGGGCACACCTGGGGCAGTGCCAACCTGAGCCACCATGTTTATTTTCCCTTCCTCCTCCCCAGCCCAGCCTTAACTCCAAATGTGTCTGGGCACTGCCAAGGGCTTGCACGTGCCTGCTGGGGGGAGGGGCAGGCTCCCTCTCTGCCCCACCTCTGTGCTGAGCTGAATGGTGCCCCGGTGCCTGTCAGTGCAACCAGGCTCCAATGACCCCTGGCAATGGGCAGAGGAGCGAGGTGCTGCCTTCATGCTCAGGGCACCCTCATGTGGCACCGAGCAAGAGGCTGGAGAAACCCTGGGGACCCCAGGTCTCTAGGGACATACCTGGGCCTCTGAGGCAACACAGAGTAAGCAGACGGCCCAGCATGCAGGGAGGCATAGACCATGTGCGCCTGTGTTAGCTGTGGGCAGCGGGGGAAGGGGGGGGGGTATGGTAAGTATGCCCACCCTGAAGGGCAGCCTCTCTCCCCTCATCCTGGAGTCCGGCTCCTTCCTGGCATATGCCCTGCAGAGACAGAGGCTCAGCCTGAAGAAGAGAGGGTGGAGCTATGGGGTTCTGAGACTGGGCTGGACAGCCGGAAGGCAAGACGCACCTGTCGGGTGGGCTGGCCACCCACTCTCTTTGTCAGATAAGAGCTGTTGGGTGGCAGTATGGGCAAAGTGCTCATGGAGGGGGAAGCATTTCATTAAGTTTAAGTGCTTCTGCAATGGGGGGACAGAGGCAAGAGGCCAATGCGGTATCTATGGGCACCATGCCAGGTTCCCACTGCTGGACTGCCCCACTCCGCAGTCCTGCAGACCCAGGGGGATTCTCTGCCCCCAAAATCTAGCCCCAGATTCTACACATGCTACTCCTCTGACTGTCCGCTCTTGGCTTTGGCCCCATCTGTCTGGGGCCCCTGGACTTTGTCCTTAACGCTCTAAAGAAAGCCCAGCCCTCCTCCTTGCCAACCACAGAGGAAAAGACACACACATAGAGGGGGCTGAGAAAAGTGGAGAAAGCAGAGAAGGAGAGGGGCAAAAGGGATGATGGGGGAAGACAGGGAGAAAGAAAGGAGGGGTAAGAACAAAGAGATGGGCAGGGATGGGGGGGTAGAGCTAGGATGACAATGAAAGGAAAGGCAGCGATGAGATGGGGGATGGGGGACAGAAGGGGTGAGGTAGGGAGGAGAGAAAAATGAAGGAGAGGGGAGACAAAGAGAGAAAGGTAACAAAGAAAGATGGGTGGGGGGTGCTTCATGCCCCGCCTAAGTCCCACCCCATGGAGGCTGGGGGAGGGGGGGGAGTAGAAATGGTTTCCACGGTGACAGCTGGTTCTTGGTGGCCTGGCATGTGGGCTATTAATAGTGCTGTGGGTAGGTTCACGCCTCCCTTTCCCCTTCCCCTTTGCCTGATGCTAGGGTGGGGGGAGATACTTCCTCCCTCCCTCAATAACCTGGCATTGATGCCCTGACTCCACACCATGGGCGCCAAGAAGGGTGATGCTAAGGGGCCCCGGTGGCCACTGTAGCCCAAACATACACAGGGGCATGCACAGGCAAACACAGGCATCTGTGCACACACTAGTGCCTGTGCCAACGTGGGCTCCCACGAGCAGCCACAAACACCAACGGCCCCTGGGAGTCTGGCGAGAGTGAAAGCTGCAGCACAACATAGGCCCCCACGTGGAGGGGTAGGTGCGTCTTAGAGCCAGGACCTCTTTCTCCTTTCCCAGGTCACCCTGTTCTATTCTCAGGTATGGACTGAGTAGGACTGCCCCACCCAACTCACTGTTATCCTAGTGCCAGGAAGGAGAAGGTAGCGAAGGCGGGAAGGAAGGTACTACTTGGCAGGTATGATGGTAGAGGAATACACAGACGCAGGCACCAGCTTGGCAAGTGGAAGGGAGGAGGAGAGTGAGGCAGAACTCCTTGGTGGGTTCTCCCTGCGGCCCCCTGAGATGGGATTCTGGAGCTTAAGGGCAGTGACCCTTAAGTCTGATCTCCTAGCCACCAAGGCACCTTGGAGGCTAGAGAATGGGAGAAAGGGGTGGGGGATATGACATAGGGGGCTGAATGATTAAACAAAAGATCCTCTGCCCCCAAAGAATATAACAGGAAACTCCCCCCTGCAGATCAGAGACAGAAAGACATAAACAGCAGCCTTGACTTGGGCCAGATGCCCAGTGTTAACATCAAAGACTGCAAAGACTGTACATCCCCCCACCCCACCATAACCTTAACCACCTGCTGCTCTCCTCTCCCTCTTCCTACCCCAGGCCAGCTCCAGTCAGGCATCAAGGTGGGTGCCCAGGTCTAGAGGTCAGCTCCACCCCCCATGCCCACAACCATGCTCAAAAGCTCAGCCCCTTCCCTGGCAACCCACAGAACTTCTTGCCTCTGCCCCAGTTCCCCTCAGGAACGGAAGCGGGAGATCCAAGTAGCCAAAAAGGCACAGTTCGGAGCACCCCCAAGCTGGGCATGGCACATTGTCCCCACCCTCCCCCCAGCAGCCAGCCGGGTAGGGTAATCGGAGCTGGGAGCTAGGGCAGCTGAATGCTGGAGGCATGAATGTCACGGGGCCAAGGCACTCGCTGCAGATGGCATGGGCACAGAGCTTGGGGTCCTCCCTTCTCTGCTGCCTTCCTCCCAGGAGACCTTAGAAAGGAGTAGTCTGCAAGCCCAGGGGAGCACAGCCCAGGAGGGAAGAGAATGGTGGAGGCGAAAAGAAAGGCAGGGATGTTCTCCCAGGCACCCCAGGGACGGGAGAGTTAGCCCCCACCCAGGCAGAACTGGCAGAGGCAGAGAGAGGGGGCGGGGAGAGGGAGGGAGAGTGAAAGAGGGAGGGGGGGAGGGAGAGAGAGAGGACGAGAGAGAGTGAGAGAGACAGAGCCCGCAAGCGCTAGAGAAGGGGGAGAGGGGGTGGGAGGGAATGGGAAGAGAGAGATTGAAAATTGTGTGTGAGTACGTGTGTGTGCGCGCGCGAAAGAGACAGCAGGAGAGAGCGAGAGAGAGCGCGCGCGAGCAAGTGAATGCAGCTGAGTCTCCGGCACACACACGGACACGTGCAGACACACACACTCACTCCGCATGCGCAGAGCCACGGCTGCGGGTGCCCAGTTCCAGGAGATATTCAGAGCCCTCCCCAGCCCACACATGCACAAAACATGCACACATGGATGCGCGCACAACACACCCACTCACTGATGTGTACAAAAACGCCGATAGCCACCAATAGCCGATAGCCTCGGGTCCGCTTTCCCCTTCCCCCGCCTACGCGCCTGGGTAAAAGAGAAAATGAAACAGGCAGCTCAGGCTCTGGGAGCCAAGAACTCATCTCTTCCTTACAAGAGGAAGAGAGGAGGAAGAAGGGGAGGTGGGCTTGTGCTGCTCTTTGCCACTGCTGGGGGTGTGGCTGTGCCTTTGGCCCTAACCCTTAACCCCAGTCCCTGTCCCCAGACTAAGTGCTCATCCTTAAAGCACTAGAGCAACCATCGCATTTCCTGGGCACCAACAAGTTCCACCTTGCTCTTCTCCTCTACCCAGAGAACTTCTAAACCTTCCCTCTGGACCACCTCATACAAAAGCATACAAGAGGGAGGTCCCCTTTGTGACCACAACCTTGGCCTGCTGGGGAGGAGGGCAGGTAACAACGCATGTCTGAAAACCATGTGACCCCCCCTCACTGCCCCCCCCCCACTAGCCCCAGATGCTTCTCTCAGAGACTGGGAACTGTCTCTGGTTCCAGGGGGCATGGGGATCCGCATCCTGGTGTGTGCCAGATCTGGGAAGAACAGGAGAATCCACAGGCGTTGCTTACCCAGCCAGCATGCAACGCGGATTGAACACAGGTGTCAGGCCACATTATGTTATTTACCCTCACTCGGAGTGAGGTAGGCATCATTGTCTCCAGATGACGAAAACCCAGGCCAAAGTCAGCAACTGGTGAATGGCAAAGACCCAGCCTCCAACTCCCAGCCAGTGCTCTTTCTGCCACAGTCATGCTTCCCTCCTCCCTAGGAGGCACCAATCCCCCAAGCACCTTTGCAACTGTGAGAACTGGAGTTGGGACTAGCCTCCCAGCCCAGAGGCTCTCCAGTGGCCCACCACGGGGTATCCTTCCACTGTCCTTGCTGCATCTTGAAGGGGAGGGGCTGAAGAAAAGGGATCTGGGGGAGAGAGGGAGTCTTTTCTCCAGACTCACAGAGGAAGACAGGCAACCTAGGACAAGACCCTGGCCTTCAAGATGTCACACCCACCCACTGTTCCTTACTCAGCACTACCACCCTCACGCTAATGCCCTCTCAGTGCAGGGATGGGGAATGTGGTATCTATCAGCCAGGGCTAGGTCCTGGGTGATTGATTAATGGTAGGTAGTAGCTGGGATGCTGGATCCCCAGCAGTGAGGTAGGGTGCTGCACTCTGTGTGCAAGAGGTAGAGGGGCTCCAGGTTGCAAAAACTTGTAGGGGAGACAGATGTGACATGAAGGGTAAGGAGGCTGGAGATTAGGGACCCACTATCCTCCCCATCCCCCATCCTATTTCTATGGGAGAACCAATTCTCCACCTGGCTTCTCCAAGAAATCCAGGGGACCTCGGACCTACAGGCTTCCTCACTGTAACTGCCTACATATACAGTGCTTGTTATGCACCAGGCACTTTTAAAAGCATTTTATATATTCTAACTCCTCTGATCCTCAAAAAGCTGAATGAGATAGGTATTATTATCCCCAATTTACAGATATCGCAAGGTTCAATAGATTGCCCAAGGTTATACAACCAGCAAGTGGCAGAGCTGGGATTCAACACCAGGCACTCCAGCTCCAAAAAAAAAAAAAAAAAGAAAAAGAAAACAAAACAAAACAAAAAACAAAAACAACCAACCAAACAAAAACCCTGCTCTTAACCATTACCTGATAAAGGAAAAATACCTTGTTCTTTGATCCAGTTACTCTTCCCTTTGAGCCTCAATTTTCCCTTCTATAGAAGCCTATGGATTATTTAGAGTAGAATCACTAAGAGTGCCTTCTCATCCAAATAGGTCATGGCTACAGGGGAGCATGGCCAGAAATGCTTAGTGCCCCCTGGGCTCTGGGCTCCCTGCCCCACTGCCCCCTGCTCAAAATTCCCACTCTGGGCTCGCGTCTGCACTCATGGAGCAGGGCCTCACTCAGCCCCCCACATAGTCTGGGCAGCTGTACCCTCAGAACCAGGCTCTGAGGCTGGGCAGAGGGCACAGCTGTTGGGCATCTCTGAGGTGGATTTCAGCTGCCAGGGGTGTGGAGAAAGACCATTGTGAGTCCTGTCACTGACCCTGCTCAGTGGGGCCCTGCCAACTCCCGCCACTGCCCACAGTGGAGGGGGGACCGTTTTCCTGTGGGTCAGTGTGGTGGGGGGCCTCTTCACTGGTTTGCTTAGGAGCTAGCTGGCTGTAGCCCGCATACCCAGGGCTTCCACTGAGCTGGTGTACCCTTGGCTGAGCCCACCGGGTCTAAGAGGTCAGCATGAGCAGTAGCTGACCCCCCTTCCCTTTCCCCCATTCTCAGCCCCCAAAACTTGCTGCTGCAGCTGCAGCACTGAGGAAGTGCAGGAGGATGTCCTGAGCAGGCAGCTGAGCCCCCCCCCCCCCCCCCCCCCCAACCTCTCATTGACCCCAGAGGCAGGGCGGGCGGGGCGAGGGGCGGGGTTTGAGTATTAACAACTGGAAAAGTATGAAGCTCATCACTGCCAGTTCCCAGCTCTGAAAAGAGGCTGTGACAGAGACAAGAACAGGGGTAGACAGGGGTAGCGACTGGGGGAGAGTTCCAGACTGTCAGAGAAACAAGCTGAGGGAGAATCAGACACAGCAAGACAGAGCAAAAGAGAGACAGCATTAGAGAGAAATTCCAAGTCAAAAATACACATCACTCAACCAGACACTCACCAGCACACGGCCTCCTAAGGAAGGCTTCCAAGTTTAGACGGGAGGGCAGAGGTGGGAAAAGGGGCCAGACTCATGATGGGAGGCAGGAACTCCGCCCAGGGGGCAAGTCAATGGTCCCAGGAAAGGCTCAGACATATGACCCCAACAGGAGCTGCTAGAGCCCACATTTGCTTTTAAGGTGGCATTAGGGACCGCTCCCTAAAAGCTGGCTCTCCCCAACTGCCTCTCCCCCTACACACACACACACACACACACACAGCAGCTAGGATAATCTCAGCTGCTGGAAGTCACTGGACATTGCTTCAGCCCCATGACTCGGCCCTCTGGAACCCCCCTGCCCCTGCTCTCTTTGCTCTTGTTTCTCTGTCCCTCAAAAAGAGAGAGAGAGAGAGAGAGAGAGAGAGAGAGAGAAAGGCTAAGCCTAGAGGAAGAAGACAGGAGGAAGCTTGAGGGGAAAAAAATCTACGACACAACTCTATGTGCATCCAGCGGTGTGCCTGACTGCACAGCTACAGTGTACACATCTGGGGTTGTCTGGACGCAGCTGTCGGCATAGACCTGTGACTGTGTGTGGACCTGAGCCCTGTGAATGCCTTCTGCACCTGAGTCCCTGGGAGTATGTGCAAATGAGTACACCTGTGTCCAGAGATTTCAGTCAATCAATTAACAAGTATTTACAGAGCACTTCCTGTGCTAGGCTCTGGGTGGGATCCAGAGCTCTTGGAGTGATTCTCCCAGGTCTCAAGGAGCTAGCTCATGATCTAGTGGGGGTGGGGGGTGGGGGATGACAAGCAACAGAGACTCAGAATATTATTATGAATGCATGCCTTGCACCATTATGCAGGAAAGTCTTTTCACAGAGACAAGTTTAATTTTCTTTGGAGTAGAGGTTTTGTTGTATACAGAACCTTAGAGATCCACAGTAAGAGTCCAGGAAAATACTTGTTGCTAAGTTGTGTATACATGTGTTGAAATGTAACTGCGTTTGCTTTTGACTGAGTGACAGCCACTGTCACGGCAGGCGATGATGTCTGTGTGACTGGGCTCATGCTAGCACGTGTGTGCCTGTGAGTGACAGGGTCTTTTGTAATGTGCGGCTGTGTGCAATTGCTCTGTGTTCATGCATGCGTGCGATAGTGACTTTTTCTGTGTGGGTGACAGCGACTCCTCCTTGCCCCTGTGTGTGACAGCATCTCCGTGTGACCCTGTGCGTGGGTATGTGCATGGGTCGGTCTCCCTGCTCTTGGTCTCCTGTGGGTGTGTCCCACCCCTTTCAGCTCCCCGGTGCAGCAGCAGCCTGCCTCTTCCCTTGTCCCTATGTGGGTGTGTCCAGCAGCTCCTGTCCTTGAGTCTGCCTGGGTGTCCCTGGGTGTGCATGCATGTGGCTGTCTGTGTGGGCATATCTGTGTGTCTGCATGTCACATTTGCTTCCCCTCCCTCATCATGGACAACATCCCCCTTCATCCCTTCCCCCTGCTGGAGCCAGAGCCAGCATTGAGGGGAGGGCTCCCATCCCACAGGCTTTCCTTCTGCGACCTCCACCCCTGTAAACGGTGGCACTCTTCATTGGCCCTATCATCCCTGTCCCCCCCTCCCGCCCCAGGCCTTTCTTTCACACCGGACAAGGGAGGGCCCCAGGCATAGAAGGGGCACCAGAGACACGTTGCAAGGGGGAGGAAAACGGGGCGGGGGGGGGCACACCACACAGGTCCCTTCCTCCCTCTTCTCCCTAACCACACTAGCTTGCAAC